TTCAACATCTCTTAAATGCTTCTCTCCCCACTGGAGCAAAAAGAGCAGTTTTAGGGGTGGATGAGCAAGAGGAGGGATAGGAAAGACTGAAATAATCTGACATAGATACATCAACCTAATTATCAGGAAAAGGGGATATGCAGAGTCTCTAGCCACCATACTAGTGGCTACAGAGTGGTTATTTCTCATCTCAATTGCAGCAAAGGAAGTATGTACTAGTCTCTAGGAAAAATCTGATTACTCAGGCCTAACAAGGGAGAGTGGAAAGGTTTCCCCTTCCCTCCCCTTTAATATGAAGGAAGGTGAGGGGGCAGGACATTTTTGGGCTTTCGTTCTATTTCAGTATGAGCTGTGTGCCACTGCATCAACCTTCATTATGCGTGAATTGTAATATAATATAACTCAAGTGCAGCTATCTCTGTTGGGGTTTGTTCCTGTGCCTTCGTATTAATGTGGAGAGAAAGAGTACGTAATTTAGAGTAAACATGGTAATAGTCATCATTCAAAATGTTCTATTTTAGCTGTCAGAATAAGAATAACACTGTTTAAAAGGTGAACTAAAATAAATCATAGGGAATATCGGCTAACATTGACAAAGCTTTTTGTTGTTGACAAATAAGGAAAACAGAACAAATGAACTATTATTTGCTGATTTAGGAAATACTGATAAGTTGGTAACTTTATTTATTGCATCAAAGGTACTCTAAGGAAACAAGATATTTTAAAGATTTAAAGTCAAAAGATTCAGTGTTTATGACGGTTACTCCTTTTCTGCCTAACCTTCATTCGCTGTTTCCTTAGAAGCTGCCGACAGGCAAGCACTAACGGCCTCGTATGAAGCACTCAGTCGTGTGTTGGGGTCCCTCTTTGGTTTGGGAGGAGGCTGTTTCCTTGGTGATGGCAGGCTATTACTATCATCCATGCTGAACACAGAGTGCAGGGAAGGAGATCTGATGGATGATCCAGCCACAGAATGTACCAAGCCATCAACTGCCATGGGGATAGGCACAGAACTGGAATAAAAATGCTTAGGCGTTCGGCAGCCAGCAAAGCTGTCCTCAGAGACCTTCCCACCCCTGTCATCAGTGCTGAAAACACAGAAAATATGCCCAGATGCATTATTCAAATGATAACAATGAACCTGCTCATGCAAACATAACAACGGCTTTTTGGTAAACAATCTTCCAACACTCCCTGCTGTGCCTAGAGGGTGTGTGTAGTAATCTCTGACAAACAAACCTAGATCAAGCTGCTAGTATTCTTCCATTTCCTGTTTTATGATAAAACAGGACACTGGACCTTTTTCTCACAAATGCAGCTTTACTCAAGCAGTTTCATATTGTTGACTAGACATTCACTGAATGAATTGTTCACACTTTGATTGTTAAGCACAATCAAAAGCTAGGATTTCAATCTGAATGATAATTTCTGGGAAATGCATAGTAATAGAAAGTTACTGAGGCAGCAGATGCTGCACTTTTAGCACTGTTTTATTTAAAAAAAGACAACTATAAATTCTACTTGTGAAATCCAGATCTTTAAAATATCGTGACATTTTAATAGATGAATTTGGCTTCACATTATAACCCAACTATATGTCAATGTAAGTCTTCTTGTTTAAATGTTCTTATAGTTTAAGCACAACTGTGGATTTTTAAAAATGTATTGTAGTGATCTTTGCAGTTTCCAGTATATATTGGAAAATAATGTCGCTAGCTTGATTCCAACTAGCTGGTGAAAATGAGAGACTGCCCCTCCAAATTCCTTCAACGTGAAAAAGTTACTTAGATTAAAAGTAACTGAAGACACCTTTCAGATGTCTAAAAATAGACTTATACTATTGTGTAGTAATGTGCTTTACTATCTAAAAGATGGCAGTTCGATACTTTTACAAATAAGCCTTCTAGCATTGGTTTTTAAAATTCTATTTCTGCATGGCAGATCATCAGCAGAGCTGGATAAAACTACAGGATATAGCCAGCTGCCCGTGTAATAAATGAAATAGCTAAAGATGAAAGCTCAGCGCTCAGTGGATAATTTGTTTTCAGTGTAATGTTTAATTACAGCCTTTGCTACAAAGGCATTTCCTTCAGTATATAATCACTGGGATATCTGAAACTAATTAAACAGATACACTGCCATTTTTACTTCAATAAAAGTCATCTGAAAGAGGCAATGGAGGCAAGGGGGAGCTGTTTCTGATAAGATACAATGAGCTGGAATCAAGCTGCTCTGGAAAAATAAACATTCCTATGATCAATGAGATATAGACACAGATAATAAGTTTCTGGTATTACAGAAAACATCATCACCATCTGTATTCTACCTACAGGGATGGATGCTAGAATATTTGCTAGATTTGCTAGAATAGGTTCATGAAACTTCCAACTGAAGCTAAACATTAGGCAATTTTTTAAATTAGAAGAAAGGAGCCTCTTGGCAATTTGTCTCTTAGGCACATTTCTCAGTCTGGACTTCACTGTCTTTTTATGCCTTCATAGCTGTTCTTGTTATCTTGGCATGTATCCAGCTGAATTTTCTAAGCATTAACTATTATAATTACTTGCTAAAATCCCACTTAACATCTGTTGCACTTATAGTAAAACACTATTTATTTTTTAAATGCTAGCATATCTTAGAGATTTTAACAATAGCCATAGTATGTGATGGTACTTCCTGAATCAGATATCTTCTATGCCGATGCTTTATGCAACTAGAATTAATTACTTGATATAGCTTTATAAACAAGAAGAATAGCTAATGAAGACTCAAGAGTCATTTAACCATATGTTTAAAGAAGCCATAGACAAGTTTACATTTGATCATTATTCCTGACATGATTGTATGGACTATACTGAGAACTTTAAGAAAATTGATTCCTACCATTAGAGAAGTTGCTTTCTCTCCTTACCTTTTGGGGGCTTCTTCCTGCCTGTTTCTAACCTCTAACTTTTCCCTATGGTGAGCAACATTCATTTCGTTGCGGAGCCGGTCATTTTCCCGAGCAATGTCAGAAGCATTCTGAATGACCAAAGCATCATATGCCTTCAGCCCCATATCCTCAGTATTCTGCAGAAAGTCTTTGATTGATTTGACCTCTTGCTGTTTGATGCTCATCTTGTGCAGCAAATGCTGGCGAGCTAGAAATCCTCTTACAACTGCCATAATGGAAAAAAAATATGGACCAATGAGAGTCAGAATTCAACAACGAATAACTTAATTCCAGGCACATCCCATTGTCCTGGCACAGCCAAACCCTGACCTTGCTTTAAGTTATGATAGGAGAAATCTGCGTGGTCCTAGTGGTCCTAGTTCTTAACTGTGTAGGAGGACAAATTGACTCGCAGCCAGACGGACAGACAGACAGATATGCATATCTAAAATATATAGTAAAGATGATAGAATGGACAGCTTGTCATCTTGCCCAAGTGGGAGAGAATGTTGGTTCACGTCCTATTGTAAAAGAGATGATAACCTAGTCTTACATTCGTTTATTGTTTCTCCCCTTATTATGCACAAATCCCAACCTAGATTCTATGTATTATGAAGAAGGTATTTTTACATTCTTTGTAATATAACAGTATCATCCTTTCAATAATGGATTTTTCATATGGACACCTTCATACAATTATTATTTTAGGTGAGTGGTGCTTCAAAAGAAGTGGGTGGATGTAGTTACCGGCCTACTTATGACTATGCGCTATGCCTTAGTACCAAGAGTGAGGTAACTGTACTGTACTTTACCTGTAGCATTAAATAATTGACAGAATGCTCAGAGTCTCTGAGTGGACACCTTATTCTGAATCAAATGGTATATATACACATATAGTACAGGGGCCATATAGTGCAATGTATATAAAGGTTTATTTGCATGAGTTTGGAACAATCACAATACTTATGAGTGATGAAGCCATAGGTGAGTTATGGAAGACATCTTAAATGAATGCTAGTAGAATGTTCCCACTACACCATCATCGTGTATATTCTACATGTATGTCACAGTTTATAAGAAACAATTTCACAAATGTTTTAGAGAATTTAAAAAAGTGTTTGTATTATTTCCTAAATCTTCTCCCTGCAAAATTAGGTGCTATAGTTCCCTTTTGTAAAATTGTAGAGAATTTAGGGAGATAAAATAAAATATATTTAAATATGAGTCACTACAATCACCAAATATGGTTTTTAAATTCATATAAATGCCACAATTTAAAATCACGTGTTATCTGTTTTTCAGGGTTGAAAATTCAGTGTGTTCCACTGGGAAATGACTTTAGGATTAATTAACTAATGCCAGAAAAATCTAGGTGATTTTATTACTATGATTTCCATCTAGTAAGAAGAAAAATCCACCTTGAGCCAAATCTCAATCCTCTCTTTCAAATTTCAATCCTCTCTAACCCTTTAGAGCCAATGGAAATATTCCTACGAGGAAGGTGAGCAGAGTTTGACCAAAACTTTTATTCATGGTTGCTTAGGAGAAAAAACATCAAACCCACAAAACAACTGATATTAAGATTTTCAGGTAAAGACATGCAAAATACCTGAAATGATAAGGCTCCTTTTAAATTACGCAATGGAAAATTAAGCTCTTAGGAACGCTGTAGTGTAAAATGAAATAGAAAACAGTCATGCTGAACTAAGCTAAAGGAAAAATGTCTTCCAGGAATGTAAAATTGCTCAATAAAATAAGAGGTTAGAATTGGCAGCAACATAAGATATTTGTTATCACCTTCCTTGTCTTTGTGTATATATTTAAAATTAGATTTTCTTAGGGTTCTCAGTGTTTAATTTCTTGAAATGTAGAAAAGGTTAATGTGAATATACCAATACTCTCGGAGGCTAGAATTCACTAGGGTTTCAATTTACCCAGTCTTATCTAATTCAAGCATGTTTATAACGGAAGAATCTGAGGATTTCCATTCCTATTATTGTAGCCAACCATTTCTCAATCTCTTGAGCCACATTTTATAATAAATGTTGACTTCGTTAACATCTGAAACATTAATGCACAATCCCTATTTAGTTAAAAAAGAAATTAATAGTGCATTTTCCTTTTGACAATTTTATGAGAGGCTTGATATTTGATGTACACATTACTGAATCTGAACTCATAAAATCCTGGTGTTGAGGAGTTAATGAATACATCCCAGAACTTAATCTAGTAGAGTCCAATGCTTACAAATACACAGTACTGAAAGAGCTTAATGATACAGAATTGTTCCCTCCCCAGCTGTACTTTCTGAAACACATTTTCAGAGCAACTGGGATATTTGCTAATCATTTAAGCAGTAAATCCTAAATCACTTTGAAGAAAACACCATCTTTCTATACCTGAGACCTATAAAACTTTATTTTAAATATATTTGTTTTTATTTTTTAAATGCAAACAAAGCAAAAGTGATCCACTGGGGGAGAAGAAGAAATATATTTCTGCTGGATAAATCTCCATTATTATTGTCGGCATCACTGACTGTAGATGGGACACTGAAATTGATATGTTGGTCATTAGAACAGGTTATAGTATTTTTTATGACCTTTTGAGTCAGAGGTATATTGGTTTTGACTTAGTTTATTGGAAAGACTGAGAAAGACCGATAAAGACTTTCTCTACCTTCTCCCCACATCTTACAAACTTCTTGAATTGAACAGCTCTGGTATCAAATTAAAAAATGGGCATTTAAATACAATTTGGTCTTCATTAAAATGTTGAGAGGTTTTATTTTCCTTCCAGTGCAGAATGAAAACAAAATTTGAAAACTCAAATGGAAGCATCATCTTCTGGAAGGCTTTACTGTTCACAATGTTGCCCTTACTGCACTACTGTCCTCATTTATGTTGCCTGCTTAAAAATATTTGAGGTCTCGTACCCTCTAAGGCCAGAGGGGTACCTGATTCTTTAGGAATAAAGGTCAGTGTGACGTAGTGGGGGTACTTGCTGGGCTGTGGTGACCCCTGCTGTCTGGAGCAAGACCCAGCAGGGAAAACCTCATTATGCAAAGGTAATGCCAAACTTGTTGAACCAGTGGCCAGACACCCCCCATGGAGAGGAACAAAGGAAGGTGGAATGCTGCCCTGTCTGGGGGGCAGGGCTGGAAGAAGGTTAGTGAGTTGTTGGCTGGAAGCATGGAGGAGACAGCCTAGGGAAAGGGACTGGAGTTTAGGGGCCCAGTCTCCCCCATCTCAAGGGGGCCTGAGGCATCCTAGCCCAGCTCTGTGACCAGATTACATCTGTGCTGTGCTGTATCCTGGAGAGGCAATTAACAACCTCCATTACACCAGCTGGTGCAGTCTGTTTGTGCCATTTCGGGGTGCAGGAGACGGGGGACCCCCAACGCGCCGTCACAGTCAGTATTGTGGAAATTGTGGCAGGTTGTGGAGTTGGCTTCTATACACAGATAAATCAATTCACACTTTGGCTGGATTGCAATAGAAGAACTTCAGGATAATAAGCTTTGCCCTCAACTCAATAGTTGATTCAGAATAATCAGAACTGCCCTGGTTAGCTGCGTACTTGTATATGCATGGGTTACCACAGAGTCTATGATACTTGAGCTCACAGTTTCTGATTTAGGTGGTATGGGTCTGTTAGGCAATTTTCAGGAAGGGATATGTGTCTATTTAAGTTGCTTCCCTTCTTTTCTCCACTATAGTCTGGGCTTATCAATTCATGATGAAAGACTTACCTGTTTTCTTAGACTTTTGTTGAAGCCACAGAGGAACATTATGCAAGAGATAGTTGGAAAGGTTTGTATGGATGAAAATGTCTGGGGGGTTGATAAGATTTATGTATGAGGGCTGTTTTTCTTTTGCAGAACTCTGAAGGCCCTGCTATGATATATTATGAAAATAATATGAATTTTATACTGTGCTTTGCATTTTAAATAGGCACAATGATTACATTTGAATAAATAAATAAATGTAAACTTCACTTTATCAATTTCAAGACTAGATACCCAACTAGAAATTGTCCTGATCTACAGATGTGAGTCTGTTATGGACAGTCTACTGTCATGATTGGCATTTGATGCCTTATGCCTTTAACCAACATGTCATAAAGAAAAAGACATGTCTATAGCTTCAAAAGATGTCTGGCTTGAAGTACAAGACTTATGTCCATGAGCATAAGAGTACCTTACCCCTAGTGTTGCTGTCAGTGGACTTGATGGGATCCATTTATATTAGGAGTAGAATGGAGTATGTAAGGTCACGTTGAGTCATACTGTCTCATGGGGAGAAGAGGAAGGCATTCCAAACCTCTTAGAACTCTTGGGCTTGTAGTTATTCCATATTTGCAACTACACTTATTTGTGGACTACTGCTTATTTTGAAGACTAATGCATGGCTGTGGGGAATCTGACTGGGTCTTATTGGAGTCCTGTGTGGGACCTCCTTCAACTTCCTTGGACTTTTACATACTTGTCTAAAGCCAGGCAAAATCTGACCCATAATGGGTGGGAGCTTTCTAAATACTGTTCCTGACAAAGTGAACTTTTAAATGGAAGTAAATTCCAGAGGCTAAAAACAAGAAGCCGAGAAACTGAATTTTGTGGGGAACTAAAGTATTTATCCTCTTTACTTAGGATTAAACTTTGCAGATGTCTTGTAAACCTCAGTGCTACAGTAACTGAGGAAGGTCTAGTTTGTGATAAAGTAGAATATTAATGCTGAGTTTAAATTAGAGGCAGGAAAATAAGATGATCAACTTTTCTTGGTAGTCGGCATGGAGGGAAAGCAGGATGAATAAGTTTTGCTTTTCTAAGGTAGATAAATGAGTGGAGAAATGAGGTTACTAGTGTTTAAAACTAGACGTGTACTTTGATAACTTGTTGAATCTGGACCTGTGTATACTGTCACCCTCCCAAACCTGAAACATTATTAATTTCTGAAATTATTTCCACACGGATGACTTTGTTCCCCTTTGCCTTTCTCCTGATTTTTCTCTGCAACTGTCCCTTAATGAAGAACAGGTAATTAAAGTGTCAGTTTAAAAAAAAATTCGAGGACATTTTTACTCAACTATGTGACAACTCTAAAAATCAAGACACTTCAGTCTGCTGTGTCAGCTTTTTTTTAAGTGCTAATGTGAATTGTTGCTGCTACAAGCCAACTAAATAAATAATGTATAGTGTGAAGGAAGCTGCTTTATACAAAGTAATATTCAATTGGAAATGGTTATTTGAGATTCTGATGGGAAATAGAACAGAAGCTACAGAACATCAGGAGACATAGAGACGTATCTCCTTCAAAAAGTGTGCCAAAATGTCAGAATGACCTTTGTAAAGATATCAACATAAAAGACAAAGACAAAAAAGCCAGAAGAAAATATGCAAAATATTGCAAATGAGAATAAAATAAAGGTAACCAATATCCTAGATGAATAATATTAAAAGTAGATGCATTTACAGGTGAAAGATATATGTAAATATTTAAAAAGTTTGCCTCTTCTATTCTTTATTTGTTAGACAGTAGAAATGTAAGAATGACATGAAAACTCTTAAATCCTAAAAAGATTGTCTGTTTGTTAAAAATATGAAAGCAATGATAAAAAAGGAATTATTAAGGCTAACAACTAGAACTCAAACTGGATTTGACAGACAAAGAGGTGCACTGTGAATAGACAAAGAGGTGTTAGTCTGGACTTCTAAAAATCTGTATTGTCAATTAGTTGGAGGTAGAATTGTATGGAAATGTGCAAATATAATAATCAAATGAAAACTCCAAAGCCATTAAATGTTTTTTAACTCTATACATAAAAATATAGTTCAGAAATATTTGTTCTGTAATTGTTACCTTTTTGACAGGTTACAATTTTCCCCTGTAGCTGTAGGCACAAATCATTGAGATGGTCAGCTTGCCAGTATTTTAGAAACACTTTTTGGACTCCTATCTAAAATACAAACAACAGAGAAACCTTCACCATCAAGAAAAAAAGGCCGAGATGATAAGTAATAATTCTACATAAAGTTTCAAGCAAATGGTTGAGATGAGATCAGAAATACAAACTATTTCACAGTACCTGTATCTGGTGTTTTCCTCCTTCCAATTGTAAAACCATAAGGAAACACTTTACTTTTGAAATTTTTGGAACATGTACAGATCATGCAAACATGAGTACATATTCTTTTTATACCTTAAAAAGCCTTCATCTTTACAGTGATTACTGAGAAAATCGAAGTAATGATTCAGTAAGAGTTGTCCTCATATGGTATTTTATTCTCATGATTTTTGTCTGAGAATTTCTTTGCTACTCAGAATTTTAAAGAAGACACATACACCCAATAAGGTATGTTTAATAATGAAGAACATAGTTCCTTTTGCTGCTGGAATTGTTTTTCAAATTGTATGGCTAATAGAAACATTGAATACAAGTCTGGCAATAATTGATCAAATTATTCAAATTTTACTTGTCTGTAGCCTATAGGCCTAATTCTGTTCTGAATCATCAGTGCATCCTCAATGAAAACATTTTGGCTGTCTCTACGTTGGAAAGATTTTGCGCAAAAGCAGCTGCCACATGTCTACACTGGCCGCGAGTACTTGCGCATGAACACTGCCATTCTAATGTAGGAAATCAGTGCTTCTTGTGCAAATACTCTGATGCTCCCGCTCAGGGATAAGCCCTCTTGCGCAACTGTTCTTGAGCAAGAGGCCAGTGTAGACAGGCAACATTAATTTCTTGCACAAGAGAGCATCTACATTGGCACGGATGCTTTTGCGCAAAAGCACATCTCTTGTGCAAAGGCACATGCCAGTGTAGACGCTCTCTTGCGCAAATACTTTAACGCAAAAACTCTTGCGTTAAAAGTATTTGTGCAAAATCATGCCAGTGTAGGTGTAGCCTCACTGTGTGATTTACAGCAGAATTAGAAACAAATAATTTTTTTACAAATGGACAAAAAAAACCCCAAACCCTCAAATCCATCATAAGTCAACAGACCACCGAAGACACTGCAACTTATGTTGTGTATTTTTTAGAGCGCCCACATATGCAGCTAAGGTTACAGAATAAATATAATACTATATTACTGTTTGATTTCAGCAACATCTACAATTATATAAAAATATGAAAAATTCTAATATAATAATTTAAGCAATGATTTGGTTTTGTGCATGGCTAAAACCAAAATAAACAAATGTCAGTATGCAATGATGAAATAAGCCTGCACCTTCAAATCTCTCATGAATTATAACCCTCTTTAACCAACTCTCATAATAATAAAGTTTAATAAACCCTTACATTTACAATGCATTTTTCATATTCCCAAAGTGTTTTCCTAACAGGACGCTTTTGGGAAAATAAAGATTGGTTAATATACTGCCTGGTGTACAGAATTTGCACCACAACAGTCTGAACTGGATTTCAGACTAACTTCACAGTTTTTGACTGCTTCACCTCAAGGCCTCTTCTGTGCTAACAAACTTTGTAGCCATAATTCACCGTTAGTGCAGTTCCACTGCTTGCAGTATTAGTCTACTAGAAGTAGAAATGCCAGTGCCCTACGCATGTAGAGTTGGGTCCGGGAGCTCGGATCCCGCCCCTAGACAGGGACTGCTGCCACCCTGCATTGCTGCCTCTTTCTCAGAAGCAGCAGTACAGGGTGACAGGCAGCTGGTCTGCGAGGGGGGCTGTTTTTTCAACTGGCTCCCCTCATGGACCAGCTCTCACCTGTCACCCCACACTGATGTCTCTGATACAGTGGCTGCCAGCCCTGCCCCCCCCGGGGCTATAGAATAATTGACTAACTGATAAAATTTCATGAAGTTACTCAACTATTCAATTAACTGATATTTAACATCCCTATTTCAAACCAGATGTTCAAAGCTGACTTCAGTAATTTGGCTCCCAAATTTCACAGATGAAATTCTGTCTAAATTCTGATTTGAGGATATACATTTTATAGTTAATATAATATAATTAGTCTTCTATCTAATTTCATCTATGATGAATAGAAGTTGCAAAAGCAGAGACTTTTTTTTAGTCTGTTTCTTTCTCATGCACAATTGTCATAGTAAGTTAAGCCTTTTGAGAACGTATATCACTAAATTCGCTTTAATCTACAGATAATCGTTGGCCTTGTCTACATTTGGACATTTATTCCACTGCAGCTATTCTGGAATAATTCTCCCATGTGGACATTTAGGCCTGCTCTATACTAGGCCAAGAAGGTTGACTTAAGGTACCTAACTCCATGTATGCAAAACGTTGGAGTCAGCTTACCTTAAGCCAAGCCTTGGTGGCATCACCAAAGCAGGAGGCCGATGGAAGCATATGCTCTCATCAGCTTCCCTTACTCCTTTCAAAAGGAGGAGTACCGGACAGTGGAGGGGACTGACCCCAAAGGGTCTATACTAAAAGATGGACCTCCGAAGTGTCAATCTTGCACAATGTATAAACACCCCCTTATTGCATAATATATGGAGTTTTATTCTGTAATAAAAACATACAGCTCCCTTCTGAAACCTTTGCTCTCACAAAGTGGAATAAAATTACTTTTATTTTGTAACAGAATCTACAGATTCATTTCTCCCTGCCTTTTAATATAAAAGCATGCTTCCTTATACAAACTAAACTATGAACTTTTCTTGAATCATAGAAATCCAACCACTACTTCTTTACTCAGCCAAAATGATTTCACAAAAGGTCTCTAGTCATCTATTTATACAGTTGTCTATGGGTCCTTTCCTTCTTGTTTTATCAGCTGACTTCACAAAACTGATGTCTCTGCCTCCTCCCCAAACTTTCATCATTCAATGTTGGCTTGGTTCTCTTAATTCTCTGACTTCCTCTCTCAGTATCTCTTCTGGTGTCTCCATCACTCCTTAACCTGTCTCTACTGTCTTTCCACATGGCTCTCTCCTTAGCGTCCTTCTTCTTTTTCTCTGTACTGTTTTCTCCATAACCTCAAATGTTATCTCAGTTTCAACCATAATCTCCATGCCACTGATTCCCATGGTTCTCTCTCCACCCCCAGTCAATCTACCTTTGTTCAGATTTGCACATCTGTCATTCTAGTATGTACTCTTGGATTCCCTGCTTCTAACTAAGATATCAACAAATAACTCCCCTTTTTTCCCTACCAAATCATGTGATTTTCTACTTTCTTCCTCTCAGCAGAAAATTCCATTGTCCTTCCTGACATACATATCCAAAGTCTTGGTATGATATTAGATTCTTCTTTTTACTTCTCCTACCACATCAAGTTTTTCACTATGTTGCCACCAAGCTCTTCAGCATCAACTTCTCAAACTCCCACAGCCTCCTGAAAAAATAAACAAAACCCTGTTCTTCTCCATCCCTTTGGCCAGCGCATTTGCCATGCTGCTCCCATTTCTTTCCTTGACTACTGCAAACTCCTTTCTGATCTTCCTGCTTCTCACTGACTTACTCCATTCATCTGAAAATCTTGTATTACCATTATTATCATTATTTATTATTTGCATCAGAGGCCCCAGCACGATGACATCCATTAAATCTTTCCCTTCTAAGCTGAGTATATTACTTCCTCTTTATATCGCCTTTCTAAGGTTTCCATTCATCTTCCATATCAAACTAAAGCTTTTCATTCTTAGTTGCAAAGCTCTCCACAGTTGTGTGCCTTCTCCATTTATTGCATATTCCTTCAATAGTTCTACACAACTCTTCTTAAGCACCCTCTAAGCATTTTTCTTTCAGTCTTTTCATGCTTGTTCCCATGCTGCTATAAAGCCCTCTATTGTAAACTACCATGACACGTACAGGTTCCTAACTAACAAAATATTAAGAAAAACAATGCTAAAAATATAGACCATTTACTGTTTTTAGCATTTTCATTTACAGGATACATTTTTGTAGAAAAGATGAGTATTACCGGTTGTACCTCTCTTAACCAGGATTCTCTGGTCCAGCAACATCTGTGGCCCAGCAGGACCACAGATGTTTCTAGACCACAGAGCCCAGGTATAGGAAGGTTGGGCTGCAGGGCAGAAATGGCAGGGTGGGCTCATTCAGGAAGGGTCAGGTCCCGAGGGGTCCAACTTGTACCCACAGCTGATGCTAAATAATTTACTCTGTGAATTTTCTCTCTTGCTGACTGCAAATGACTGACTGAATGAACGGAGTGACACTTCTTCAAATTTGTACATGCATTTATTCAACACATTTTGGTTTTGCCATTTTTCTTTCAGCCTTTGGAATGAACATGAAAAATCCAGTTTGAGAATTTAAAATTCTTTAAATATGAAATTTGTTGGTTAGTTGCAATTAGTCTAATAAGAAACCAGGATAGTACATATTCTCTGACTAGATATATAATTAGATAGGAAACTTATAGATAGGAAGCCTATGGAGTTTTATAAGTGAATGGAAAAGGGACACAGTCGTGACTGAGGCAAATTCATTTTCAAATTTTCATAAACACTATTTACAATTTTTTACAACATGTGTCAGCTCTACCAAAAATATCTATTAGTAGAGAAACAGTCATGAGGCATTACTTAAGTATTATTAGACATTTGTATAGATTTACCTTTGAAATTCATCTTCTGAAATTGACCTAGAACATCTGTACAATGTACAATGTTTTATATTGATATTCCATGAAAGGAATACTGAAAATGTCTGAATCACATACATTAGTTATGTGTCTCATATACAAACAGTTTCATAGATGACAGTCTTCATTCTGGTATGATTTTTTAATCACATATAATGTTTCTTGCTTATTAAGCGGGGGGAGGGGAGGTGGAGAGGAAAGCTAAAATATTCTCCTGCCCTGACACCAACTTCTCAATACTTTGAGGACTACAAAGTCGTCTTATCCAAGATTGAAATTTTAATGTCATTCAGATTCCTATAAAAGTAAACCATCTGTGAATTACAGTCATAGTTATTTTAATTAGAAAATCATT